ATTTTGCGTACAATCCGACCATGAAAAAAGTTATGTTCTATCCGATATAAATTAAAGTCAGGGAGTAAATGAAGAAAGTAAACGAGAAACGAGTTAAGCTTCCAAACGTCACTAGTTGAGTTACAGTGAGCAGCACACGGGCAGCAGGAATGCTGCAGGGTGGATTACATAACCAAGAGTGGAGCCATCTTCAGCACTGGGAAAATGGCCACCAATGTGGAATATGTAAAGAATGAGCGGGTGATGAATGAAGTGGCAGAGGAGGAATTGGGGGAGGAGGGGAGTAGAGGCGCTAGAGAGGTGGATAAGAGAACAAACACGTGTGGCAGGGACACTGGCAAAAGTCAAGGGGTCATCATGTCATGTGCACAAACATGATGTGTGTTAGGGAGAGTGCACGCTTGATGAGGCTGATTCAGTTGCACTTCATACCACGCACAAATTGATGCGTGGTGTTGGTTCAGTCGCCGGTATAGGGAAGGGGAGCGCTAATTGGCGAGTTCATGCTGTTTAGAGGACGTGAAAATATCACTCAGGAGCAACTTCCTGAAAGCGATGCACCTCGTGATTCCACATTTTTGACAGTCGATGCGAATGCTCTCAGACATTCACGCCTATAGTTTCACGCAAACGATAAATGTGAAGGCAAGTCACTGTGCGTCATGTCCCCTGCACAAAATGCCCTTCCCGCACCGTAAGGCACAGAGACAACACAGTAAAGTTACTCCTCGTGCTGGCTTGGGAAAGACTGGGCCATCAGGCTGCCAGGTGGCCAGGACATGGCAGGATAGCAACGGATTTAATTAATCTGTGCAGAAGTTTGTTGTGGTATGCCCTTCGGATGCATGGGTATTCTCAAGGTACCATGGTTTACACTCACTTACTCGATGCCAAAAAGTTATTCATGGAATTGGCCAAACATCGCAATGCAGGTCCCTCCTGCAAAATAATCGTGAGACTGAGTGGGGTTCCCTTGATAAGGAAAGCGCGAGTAGGCGTTGTGCCAGATGAGCTTGACCTGGAGTTGAGTTGCCTCACACTGGCAAAGTGAAGCCACCTGCTGTATGGCTGCAAGTGTGGCCACACAACCCCCATCCCTCCGTCCCCTGGCGATTCAAGTCAATAATTATGATTTGTGTATCACTGGAGGAAATGTAGTGGCCACCAGTGGTTGCAGGGATCACGTGAAACCTTTACGTACACCATATACGAATCGAAACATATCGTCTCTTACACACGTCAATTGATGTATCGGGAGCAAAATAATCAATATTCGTTTATCCATCGTTGCAATCTTACTGAGCGGCTCAACTCGGATTGCCACCAGTACAGGTTTGGCCCGGACAGTCTGAGAATTGGTGTCTGTGTTCGAGTGGCAACAAGAGTTTTGTACTGAGATCTGGTACTAGCATTGTGTTAGATTTTATTAGAGTATAATGCACAGTTCTGGTAGACCTGGGCTCACTGAGACATCTTGCTGGATTCGATCCACAGTGGAGAACGTTATGACTCTAGACCACCCCAGTGCTGGTGCATTTACATGCTCAGCAGCTAAACTCCAGCAAATGAGAAGACATCACACAGAATGTGCTGTCGGGATTATCTCTAGCATAATTAGAAGAAGACAATAACATCACTAGCTAAGATGTACAGTGAGGAAAAAAAGTATTTGATCCCCTGCTGATTTTGTACGTTTGCCCACTGACCAAGAAATGATCAGTCTATACTTTTAATGGTAGGTTTATTTGAACAGTGAGAGACAGAATAACAACAAAAAAATCCAGAAAAACGCATGTCAAAAATGTTATGAATTGATTTGCATTTTAATGAGGGAAATAAGTATTTGACCCCTCTGCAAAACATGACTTAGTACTTGGTGGCAAAACCCTTGTTGGCAATGACAGAGGTCAGACGTTTCTTGTAGTTGGCCACCAGGTTTGCACACATCTCAGGAGGGATTTTGTCCCACTCCTCTTTGCAGATCTTCTCCAAGTCATTAAGGTTTCGAGGCTGACGTTTGGCAACTCGAACCCTCAGCTCCCTTCACAGATTTTCTATGGGATTAAGGTCTGGAGACTGGCTAGGCCACTCCAGGACCTTCATGTGCTTCTTCTTGAGCCACTCCTTTGTTTCCTTGGCCGTGTGTTTTTGGTCATTGTCATGCTGGAATACCCATCCACGACCCATTTTCAATGCCCTGGCTGAGGTAAGGAGGTTCTCACCCAAGATTTGACGGTACATGGCCCCGTCCATCGTCCCTTTGATGCGGTGAAGTTATCCTGTCCCCTTAGCATAAAAACACCCCCAAAGCATAATGTTTCCACCTCCATGTTTGACGGTGGGGATGGTGTTCTTGGGGTCATAGGCATCATTCCTCCTCCTCCAAACACGGCGAGTTGAGTTAATGCCAAAGAGCTCCATTTTGGTCTCATCTGACCACAACACTTTCACCCAGTTGTCCTCTGAATCATTCAGATGTGCATTGGCAAACTTCAGACGGGCATGTATATGTGCTTTCTTGAGCAGGGGGACCTTGCGGGCGCTGCAGGATTTCAGTCCTTCACGGCGTAGTGTGTTACCAATTGTTTTCTTGGTGACTATGGTCCCAGCTGCCTTGAGATCATTGACAAGATCCTACCGTGTAGTTCTGGGCTGATTCCTCACCGTTCTCATGATAATTGCAACTCCACGAGGTGAGATCTTGCTTGGAGCCCCAGGCCGAGGGAGATTGACAGTTCTTTTGTATTTCTTCCATTTGCAAATAATCGCACCAACTGTTGTCACCTTCTCACCAAGCTGCTTGGCAATGGTCTTGTAGCCCATTCCAGCCTTGTGTAGGTCTATAATCTTGTCCCTGACATCCTTGGAGAGCTCTTTGGTCTTGGCCATGGTGGAGAGTTTGGAATCTGATTGATTGCTTCTGTGGACAGGTGTCTTTTATACAGGTAACAAGCTGAGATTAGGAGCACTCCCTTTAAGAGTGTGCTCCTAATCTCAGCTCGTTACCTGTATAAAAGACACCTGGGAGCCAGAAATCTTTCTGACTGAGAGGGGGTCAAATACTTATTTCCCTCAATAAAATGCAAATCAATTTATAAAATTTTTGACATGCGTTTTTCTGGATTTTTTTGTTGTTATTCTGTCTCTCACTGTTCAAATAAACCTACCATTAAAATTATAGACTCATCATTTCTTTTTTAGTGGGCAAACGTACAAAATCAGCAGGGGATCAAATACTTTTTTTCCCTCACTGTAGGCGTAGATGCCAGTAAAACCCCAGAAACACATCACGTGTCGTATGAAGAGAGACCAGTTGGAAGAACCAGATGTTTTTGTCTGACTGGGTCAGAGGCGGATCTAGAATCTTCTTCCCAAGGGGATTGGGCGGTCCCGAAATGTCAGGGTTTTTAAAGTACATTATAAAAGAAAACATTAAACATATTTTATCTGGAAAGTATGATCCTACATGAAAAAAACTCATGAAACATTTTATCTGGAAAGTATGAATAAAAACATTTTTGTGGGGTCTCCAGGGGGACATCACCCCCTCCTCAACCCCCCCCCCCACGCCCTTCCAAATCTTCCACTGGATTCAGTTACAGGCGCGTGTGAGATCTCAACAGGGCATTCTCCACGAACCCAGAGGGAACTCCACTCGGGACGGTTGCAACGCGGCCCAAGGCCGTGCTTGTTGTGCTCCCTGGGGAAGATCTCCGCTGACGCTGCCTCCTCCACGCACGTGGCCTCGCTGGGCAAGGCAGGGCCGCCGGGCGAGTCGGGAGGCGCGCACGAGCTCAGGTATCGAGTTTGTGTCGCCAGGTGGAGAACTCCAGAGACAGGGATGGCGTCATTCGCTCGTGGCCAACCCCAGTCACCAAGATGACAAAAGCAATCGCGTCCAGAGAAGCGTAACGTTGAAGCGAATCAGGCCAGATATTACGTCCGCTTTGCAGATGACATCGAACACAGTGCACACACACACACAACAATATTCCATTATTATGAATAATATCCCATGAAGTATATATTCCGTCACTAAAGTTGGCTCGAATAAACTACTTAAAAAATGTAAAATTAAATAAAGTTACAGAATCATCAGATATATTTGTGTATTGCACTACTATTACGGTCAAGACTAATAACGGAGTGGCAGCCAAGGAATAGAACTTGACCGAGGTCGCCCACCCAGGAGATGGAGCGATCATACCAGTTCACGTGCAGGGTGCTGGGTGGATTGTCGCATCGCGGGTGGTGGTGGTGGTGGTGCCGGCTACTCGAGGAAGCCTTCGTCCAGCAGTGGATTGATCATGGCTGCTGCTGATGGTTAATGTGCACTGGTGCCTACTTTATTGAGGCCGATATTGGCACGTCCGATACATATTGATTGCACTGATATGTTAAACAGCCAAGGATAGACAAGGATTATCATGTGGGCATTGTATTAATAGGAATCCGAAAAAGGAATCCCGCACCTAGGATGAGAACGGTTGGTTACGTACGGTGCGAAAGAAGTTCAACCGACAAAGTATCAATCGGATTACTCTGAACAGGGTTCGCATGTGATGGTTGTGTACGTTGGTATGTTTAGGCTACGGTGCGATATGCACAACACTGCTGTTGATGCATTCATTCTCAAAATCACTTCCACATTTGCGTGCTACGAGCCCCCGGGGCTAACGCGCGGCACGGTGACGAGGCCTGCAGATGGATGATGTCTCTGAAGCGGCTTCAGGGGATGGCAGCGGCAGCAGGGCGAGCGGGAGGCCTCAAGGGCCGCTCTTACAGTGGGGCAGCCAGTGAGGTAATGGAACCTACATTGTTTTTGTAGTGGGAAGTGTTCTGGACTTGTGTAGCGCTAATCAAGCCATTGCGAAACACCCCTCCCCATCCATCCATCCCCCACAGCTCCCTCTCCCACCCACACCACTATCAGCCACTTGACTCAATTCTAACATCGCCCCCCACCCACCACTCACCCAGCGAACCAGCCCACCCCCTACATCACTACCTCCCCCTGGAGAAAAAAAATCTCAACAACCCCACCCACTCCACGGCAGCGCGCACTCACGCACTCAGTCCCCGCAGCAGGCGAGGCAGGGAGCCCCAGCACCACGCACCCCGCGCACCCCGCGCACCCCACGCCGCCTGTGCTGCCCCGAGAGAGCCTCGCGGAGCGCCGCCTCCAGCAGCTCCACGCCGCTCGGTGCACCGGGAAGGCTGCCGCTGTGCGGAGGGAGTGGAAGCCAGGGGACCCCGCGACAGCCGACCGAGAGGATCCACGCAGCAAGGTACGCTCGGTGGGAAATCGACACTCGCAGCTCTATCTTGGCATGGCTCGCTGCGCACAGCACACATCTGTGAGCCGAGCTCAGCGGCAGTGGCTGTCGCCGTGCCTCTCTCCCTCGCCCGGACCAGCCCGTGCGGTATGCTGGCACACGGAACAGGGTGCAGCCTAAACCAGACGCGTCGCGATGCAGTGGCGAAGAAAACTGATTAATGTTCAACCGGTGTCCCCTGATGCAGGGCTGTTAGCGGTGTTTACAGAGGAGTGTTTACAGACGATGAGCGGTGTGTGTGCGCGATGTGAGCCATGTGAGCGGGGGAAGCTCTTGAGGGAGCCACGTCGTGGATGAAGCGCTTCGTGAGCGATCAGTGGAAGACTCACGTCCAGCTTTGGCTCATCGCCACTGATAGCAGTGGACGGCTCGCGAGTCTGCTGTTGAGTCTTCTTCCACTTCTAGAGACGCGATCCTGGGTCCATGCGAGTCCGACTCACGGCTGAGCCGCAGTGGTAAAACACCCTGCATGATGACGTGCGGAACCACGTTTCTCTGTTTATCAACAAATTATAACAACAGTCCATCATTCAGGATCTCCCTGAGGATTTCCTCCAGGCTAGAATCTTTCTCCAGCAGACGAAACCCCTTCGAGACGACTCACGAACAACTCCCCACGCCGAGGGTATTGATAGCGCTAGGGCTGAATGCGGAGTTTTTAACTCGTGTACTTATAAATAAACGTACTAACATTACACCGGATTCGCCCTTATTTGTGGTCCTCCGTACTATGTAGCTGTTCAACATTGATGTCATACAGCGGGTTTACGTAAGATAAATAACTGCTTATCCTAACACGTTTTCCCTGTTTTCATGCCAATGAGTTGAGTAAATAACTCCTCTACAAAACGCGATTGTGTTTCGTGGCCACTGCTGCTGGTGCTGCCGTGTGCTGTGAGTAAATGTGTGCAGTCTGTGCTGTAGCGTCCTCATTATAACTGCGATCGGATGGAGTCCGTCAACGTGTAGCTTAAACTTAAAACTCATCCACTGCCTCCTAAATTCATTCATTTCCACAACGTATAAAGGAAGTCCACATTAGTTTCCTGTTTGTGAGTGGGATACATTTTTTGGAAGGACATACACATTCTTTAAACATCCTGCCAATTTACCAACAACTGTTACAGTGCAGGGTTCACACACGCTGGCCGTACCGGAATCATCGGCAAATTGAAAGCCCAGCCAGTGACGGTCTTGGCCACAAATGTCAAATGTGCTCCGACACCCCGAACGTCAGTCGCAAAGGCGTGAGTTTCAATCCCAGGCTTGACTGGGTGTGAGTCTATCATCCCTCGGGGGGGGGGGGGGGGGGTAATAAATCAGTACCGATGTTGTGGCAAATCAGCAGGCGTCACGGTGGGGGGACGTGACGGCTCCCAGCCGCACGCCACTGAGACGGGGGGCAGCGGACGGCCACGCTGGCCCCAGGGGCTCTCCGCGTCACGCGGCGAGGGCGAGGGGTGGTGGTGGTGGTGGTCACTGGTTCACTCTGCATCACTCACAGGGGTAGGAGCGTCTCTCTGTGGTCGCTGTGTGGGTCACGGTAATGCGGAGCAGCAACGACGACGATGTTACATTGAGGTGGTCTAGCCAGGTGATTGCGTCAGGAGTTGTGAGTGGTTCTATGGTGCATGGTGTCTGTTCTGGGTGCTGACCGCAGTCTTTGCATACTGACCGGAGAGTTTGTCCATTTGTGCATCGTGAGGTATAACCGCATCTGCTTCCATGGTTATTGAGATTGGACGGACTCAACTTTTGCGTGTGACGTGGTTCAAATGTCAAGTTGATTTTGTGTAACGAGGCGTGAACTCACAAGACCCGGATATGAGTCTCGTTCGCAAAGATGACTCGAGTCACGGTGTTGTGAGTTAAAGGAAGTGTAAATAATGTTTAAATGCACTTGAATGCAACCGTGTCCTCGCTGGCATCTACCCGCATGTCCAAGCCTGATAAGCACGGCTGACGCGCTCGAGGTACTTGATGTAGCGTCGGTTCAAGTTGGGGGGGGGGGGGGGGCAGCTGGAGTGATTGTTTTTCCATTTGCATACAAGCTAACGGGGTCACGAATCGTCCTTTGATTCGAATAACAACCTTGAATTGTGGACCTTCTTTGAATCTTGAGGGGGATAAATAGTTTGAGGCCTAAAATCTACTTTTTTAGGCAAGAAACAAAGATAATCGAATGGCATAGAGGCCGTGTATCGGCAACCAGGTCAACGACGCAGCTGGCCCATCATGATGCTCGCCCCAGGGCCCAACTGCATCATGTTTAATGTTTATATTAAGCGCTGTTCATGCAAATTGCTTCTCACAAATGCCGAGAAACCACATACAAGCTTGGCAGCAGCCAGATGGTGAGCTGGCGCCAACATGTGCCCAAGCTCTGCAGTCCTCTACATATATTTGTATTAAGGTGTCAGCTAAATTCATGAGCACCCGGAGAGAGCTCACGCGTGCGAGGGGTTAGTTCCCCCTACAGAAGGGACATATGGTGCGAGTCCACCCTTCGCTAAACCACCAGGGCACGGCACCTCCTCGGCGCCCAAGGGTTTCACAACAACATTCGTGCGGTGATGCACCAACCCTCGCTGCCGCCACAGTGCCGGATTGCAGGCAGACACCTGCGTAGCCACCGCTCAGTGATCGCGACGTGAGATCTATTACCGCGTCACGACTCCGCGAGTTGAAGGTCTCTTGATGAAAATAGCGTTTGTCACATGCTGTCTGCGAGCGAAGCGCAGGGAGGCAATGCTCATGCACGCTCGTGCCGTGTTCAGCTGCCGCTGGGCTGTCGTTGCGTCTCTGAAGAATGCGAGTAACAATGCGAATCACTTATAAAATGCCATGTTTTCATACAAATTAGTTGTTCAAAACAGATGAGTTTCTCCCTAAGGGCCGCTGCCGGTGTCGTGTGCTGTGATTAACGTGCCCCGAACACACGCATTGGGGGCCGTCCATAAATGACGTCACGCACCATTTGTGACGATGGTGACAAGGGGGGGGGGGTTGAAAAATGTGACGTCACATCAAAATGCGCAACTTTAAATAAATATAGACAACACGTTCTACTTAATTAAATAAACTTTTAAATACATGTTTTCTCCTACAACAGAGTGCAGCGCCACATTAAATACACACTACAATGACAATAGTTTAAAGCGATTTGAAGCATGTTTTCTTTTTGGGGGGCAGAGCTTTGTGACGTCATATTTGTGACGCCGTGTGACGACGGGGGGGGCAAAAATCGTCCAATATCGCGTGACGTCATATATGGACAGCCCCTTGGCCTTACACGAGCGCCCAGTTTCATGAGTTGTTTGTTTCTTAAAGTACGATGGCAGTTTGTTTTATTGTATCCATAACCCTCCACAACTTGACAGAGCCAATCAAATCAAATTGTGATATCATGGCCACATGCCAACTGATTCGGTTTTTCAGCTAGAGGATGAAGAGGAGGATGAGGATGAGGAGGATGAGGAGGATGAGGAGGATGAGGAGGATGAGGAGGAGGAGGAGGAGGAGGATGATGATGATGAGGAGGATGATGATGATGATGAGGATGATGATGAGGAGGAGGATGATGAGGAGGATGATGATGAGGAGGAGGATGATGAGGAGGAGGATGATGAGGAGGAGGATGATGAGGAGGAGGATGATGAGGAGGAGGATGATGAGGAGGAGGATGATGAGGAGGATGATGATGAGGAGGGGGATGATGAGGAGGAGGATGATGAGGAGGATGATGATGAGGAGGATGATGATGAGGAGGATGATGATGAGGAGGAGGATGATGAGGAGGAGGATGATGAGGAGGAGGAGGATGAGGAGGAGGATGAGGAGGAGGAGGATGAGGAGGAGGAGGATGAGGAGGAGGAGGATGAGGAGGAGGAGGATGAGGAGGAGGAGGATGAGGAGGAGGAGGATGAGGAGGATGAGGAGGAATGTTGAAAAACTCAAAGCAGGATCTTGGCAATTTCGTACGAAAGACATCACACTCGGCATGATCACACTCGGCATCATCACACTCGGCATCATCACACTCGGCATCATCACACTCGGCATCATCACACTCGGCATCATCACACTCGGCATCATCACACTCGGCATCATCACACTCGGCATCATCACACTCGGCATCATCAGCTGCTGGCAATGCTCGGCTCTCGCGCTGATCACACCGCCTGTGAGTGGATGGATTATGTCACGTGCTCACCAGTTTATTGTGACTTAAAACGTGTCGTTCACATCCATTCAATGCAACTCAGCGATAACCCGCGCGCGAGTGGGAGAGGTTCGTTTGGAAGACGAATAAATTATTATTATTATTTGTTTTATTTTATGTTTCCACCTACGTGACTTTACCGAAAGAACCAAAGGATACATTTTCCTTATGAGACGCAAGTCATTCGTCTTCATTGTTATTATTTACCTCTCCTGGCATTATTATATTCTTTGTATTCTTTGGTTCTTTCGGTAAAGTCACGTAGATAGAAAAATGAATAATAAAAGGAAAGTGACTAAAAATATCACGACGTTTCGATCGCAACACAAGCGGTCGTTTACCTCTCTAAATAATAATTAAGTGAATAATTAATCATTAATCGGTTGGTATTTGTATTTCTTAATATCATGAGTTTATATAGTCACATTTACGAACGTCTTGGAAAAGAATGAACCACATGTGGATATAAATACTTGTTTTGTACGCCCACGTATGTATAGCCACCGTGCGAACGTTGACATCAGTTGCATTGCAAAGGCTTCTGTTTAGATTCGCGGTGCCGGTTTAATGTAATGGAGACGCAGTTTGATCCCCGCGCTCCAAACTCTCATGGCATCACGGCACTTCTTGAGCCAGGTGTGGTGTGCGTGAAGACCTCCTTGTGAAGGAAGGTGAGGAATGCGGTGAGCACGGAAGGCAGGCTGTGGTGAGGAGTGATAGGTGTGTGCAC